CACACATCTTAAAGTTGCTGAGGCTGAGAAACACAGCTGTACACTACACAAATCAGCATGATGCCACCCATCCATCTGTTCTAGTGGCATGGCTGGCTGGGGAATTCTGGGAGTTGAAGTCCACACATCTTAAAGTTGCTGAGGCTGAGAAACACAGCTGTACACTACACAAATCAGCATGATGCCACCCATCCATCTGTTCTAGTGGCATGGCTGGCTGGGGAATTCTGGGAGTTGAAGTCCACACATCTTAAAGTTGCTGAGGCTGAGAAACACAGCTGTACACTACACAAATCAGCATGATGCCACCCATCCATCTGTTCTAGTGGCATGGCTGGCTGGGGAATTCTGGGAGTTGAAGTCCACACATCTTAAAGTTGCTGAGGCTGAGAAACACAGCTGTACACTACACAAATCAGCATGATGCCACCCATCCATCTGTTCTAGTGGCATGGCTGGCTGGGGAATTCTGGGAGTTGAAGTCCACACATCTTCAAGTGGCCAAGGTTGAGAAACACTGGTTTAAGGAGACCAGTAAGCCATGGAGCAGCTTATGAAAACTTTATTGAAGAACAGCCTTTGTAGGTCCCTGATAGATTTGAGGAGGCTCAGGAGTGGGGAATCCTTGGAGGAAAAGTTTTTAAATCATCCTCTGGAGCATTTACTCCATGCCTTATAATATAGTCTTCCAGATGTTGGCTCAGAATAAAACAAGGTGGAGTTTGAAGTAGGTGTTTTTAACCTGCACATCCAAAGCAGATTTACAGGAAAACTGTAAACAGAATAAAATATACTGCCGTTTCAAAGCTGCTGCGATCCTGGAAGGCAAGCGAAGTTAGGGAACGCTTTAAAATGGGTAGCAGAGAGATACTTGTGGGCAAAAAAATGTATTTGCAGAAACCTCCCTTGGTGCTAAGTGTGCCTGACTCGTGTTTGTGCATGTGTACATACGTATATACATATATGTGTGGGTGTTTGTGCGTTCCAATAAATAAAATGGGAGGGTGCTGCAAAGAAGTCGCATAGAAATAAACTTTATGGCGAGGAAGCCCTGAGCACCGCACAAAAGGGTTGGAGTTTTTTCCACTAGGTTACAGGGCTGGGGGGAAAAACAATTGTGGGAAAACCAGGAACAGATGTCTTGCCTGGAGTTTGGCTCTGACACCATTCCCACATTCCTGCAAAAAGTATGTGCTCAGCTCCCCCCGGCCCCCCATCCGCCCTTTCTTAATTCTTAGCAATTGTTTGTCCTCATGAGTCATTATTCTGCACTCTTTGATCATCGGTTTGAGGTCCTCCAGACTTCAGTTTTGCTCCAAATAACCAAGCAAGAGCCTATAATTCTACCTAGCTCCATGTAGAACAGTGACCCAGGATGACTTTTGACGTTGTGAATGGTTGGATCTTTCCTCTTTTCAAGCATTTTTGTTTTGTTCCCTTTTCTTTTTTTGATTTTTGAGATTGACAGGGGACATCCTGGGACATCACGGGGGACTCTGTTGCAGCCCTGGGGAAACTCAGGGGTTGAATTCAGGCCAGTCGTTCTCTTCCAGCCTGAACTACCTCATAGGGGGGTTGTGAGAAAAATTGGGAGAGGGAATTCAGTGGAACTGAGTCCTGTGGGAAAGGTGGGATAGGAATCAGATAAATAAATGTTTCAGGCTGGAGTCCCCTGATGTGTTGGGGGTCTTTTGAACAACTACTGTCATGATTATGGACTGCTACTCCCATGATTCCCAGCCAGAAGCGAGCCAGACTGATTGGAGTTGTAGTTCAAAACCACACAGGTGGTTCCTTATACATTTGCATGGCAGAGAGAACATCCGGGGGGGGGCATCCTGTCCTCCTCCCCCGACCCGCCCGTTTGCACAAACCCCTTCAAGACTGCTTTCTTCTTGGTCTTCTTTCCTCAACAGTATCGTGTTGGGCAACTTTACACCATCAGTAAGCACAGCCATCAGGAAAGCGACAGAGGAGAAGGGGTGGAAGTGGTGAAAAACGAGCCGCACGAGGACCCCGTCCACGGCCGGGGCCAGTTCACCGAGAAGCGGGTCCACCTGTCCAGGTGAGGAAGCACCAGCAGCGTTTCGAGGGCCAGTGCCCCGGTTCTCCTCTTCTCTCTCTTGTGGGTACTTTCACGAGTGGGGCACTAGGCGGTTCCTTGCCAGAGCCTTGTGAGGCGGGTCACAAGTGTTCCTAACTTAGAGCTGGAGAGAGGAAGGAGGCGGCTGAGTGTCTTCTGTAGAAGGGGCAGTACTGAGTGGGTTGAGCAAGACTGGGGGGCTGGAGATGCAGGGCAAGGCAGTGAGTTAAGAGGTGGCACACCATATGGCATCGATGGGCAAGGCTAAAGATTTTGCCTTGCCTTGCTATTATATCTGTTTCCTTTCCATTATATTTGAACCCTTCCCTTTCTTTCTCCTTCCCTTCCCTTTTCCCCTTTCCCTCCCTTCCTCCTTCCCTTCCTTTCCCTTCCCTTTTCCCCACTCCCTTTCCTTCCTCCTTTCCTTCCCTTATTCCAGCCTCTTCCTCTTCCTCCTTTCCCCCTTTTCTCCTTCCCTTCCCTTCCTTCCCCTTTCCTTTTCTCCTTTCCCTTTCCTCCCTCCCTCCTTTCCATCCCTTCCTCCTTCCCTTTCCCTTCCCTTCCCTTCCCCCTCCCTTCCTTTCCCTTTCCCTCCCTTCCTCCTTCCCTTTTCCTAATTCTTCTCCTGCAGCAAATGGCAGCTCACCTTTGTTTCAATTCCACCAAGCCTCTTTTAGCTTAATGCCCTTGTGTTTCCCACCTGAAAATGGTGGGATGTTAACCTCTAGAAATGCCACCATCATTTGCCCCCCCCCCCAAAAGAAGGAGAAGGAGAAGTTGGGTGGCTGGGGGCAACAAGCAGCCCCAGGATTGCATTCCCTCCTCCTCGTGCTGGAGACTTTCTCCCAAGGCCAGATCCCAGCCGCCGAGCATCGTTCTCCTCCTCCACCTCCGCCCTGCTGATGCAGAGTTTTGCCTTTCTCCAGTACCCATTTGTTCTCTGCTTTCCAATTAACCTGTCATGAAATCTGACAATTGCTCTGGGCTGGATTTTGCATGAAAACCCTGAGATAAAGTCATATATTCCTCCAACCCTCCACTTCTCCTTCCCCTTCCACCATCTCTCTGGCTTGCAACTCCCACATATCGCCATCTTCCCGTCCAAATCCATACATTTTTCAGAACGGACAATTTGTTCCTGGGAGATGCTTGATGGGCGGGTAGGAGAGATGCCATCCTGCCAGAGATCTTGGACCTGTAATCCTGCTAGATGGGACTCACGGAAGCCGTAATCCAGACCTTCTCTCCCCTTTTCCTGTTGAGCAGAATACTTGTTGATGAGCAGGTCCCACCACCACCACCACAATGATCTAATTTGGACTGGGGGCAACTGGCTATACCCCGATTGTTTCTGGGGGACTCCTACCCTGGGGTCAAGCCCCTCATCTAAGAGCACCATCAAGGAAGCAAGACTCACCCAACTTCAGTAGAGTGTTTTCACACAAGAGTTAGGGGTAAGATCCAGATTCTTGGAAATAACTTCTAGCTCTCTTTGATTAGTGAGTTCAGGAAGGCAAAAGTCTTTTGCAGTGCTTGGCATCTCTTCTTGCTGGGTGTTTTCACACTTGAACTGAGCTGCTGTTTATGAGATAAGCTACTAACAGACCCCTGTCCTAAAGTATCTATTGGTAGGTTATGTCTGAAATGACTCCTGTTATGTTCCTAGCGTCCCCACAATCTCTCACGATGGGTACTCGTCCTGTTTTGCTCTGCCCCTAGCAGAGACGAAACAATCTGGATCCTGTTGGCAGAACCCCCAGTTTCAGGCTGAACACATCTTTTTATAACAGAGGGAAGCTTCATTGATAAACCAGCTTTTTCCTTACCCTTTGATGTCAATTCATTCAGCTCTTTGCATTCAGGGAAACATCCTTGGAGGAGCACAGCACAGTGGTCTGGCTGAATGCCATCCTTTCAAATCTATTATCTCCTGCTGAAATTTCTTTTCAATTTGCCCAGTTCGCACTGATGTGATACCATATCTATCGAATGCACAGGGAGAGAACAGCAAGTTGCTGTTCTCGGCAGGATGAATGAACGTGTATTCGTTTTGGCTTGAGCCAAACAAAGAACATCCGTGCTGAATCAAGAACGAATCTGAAAGGAATATCCAAGATAAATTGAGGACTGTGTGTTTTATGCTGACTAACTAGAAGGCTGAAGGATACTTCAACCACTCCCACCACCCAGAAGGAGCCATTCAATTTGGAGATGGGAGCATGACATCCTGGTAAGGCACAGAGCCACATTTACTTATGCCACCCTATCACCACCATTTCAGTGACTGATGGTAGTCCCTGAGAAAAAAATTCCTGGTTCTGTCCTCAGCATCCCCTAGGGAAGTTGGAGAAACTCTTGCTAGGAATCCTAGAGAACTTCCATCACCCAACAGTGTTAGGCTACATGGACGAATGATCAGGCAAAATATAAAGCAATCTCTGAATTCCATCTGGCCCAATCATCTCTTTGGTTCAGGAAATTAGAATCAGAGAATCCCTAAACAATGACCGCCTACTTTCTGCTTGAAGACCACCATGAAAGAGAAGAACCCACCCTTCCATCTAAGTAATTGGACGCATTGTCTAAATTTCTCTGTCAAGAACTTGTAAGATGTTTCTCCTAATGTTGAGCTGCAAGATGTCCTTCTAGATTTGAATATGTGAGATTGGTTCCTTACTTCCTTAAAGAGCTCCATCTTCCCCCTTCTAGAGAATAACGTCTTTGGGATTGGAAAAGTTCATTTTTAATCTCTTAGTCTTCCCTTCTCTAGAGCAAACATATTCAGTTGCTTTCTAATAGGCCTTGCTTCATGGACCCATGGCTATTTTTGATTTCTCCCTTTTCTCTATGTCCTTCTTAATGCACTCTGAACTGAATGCACGTATACTACACAGCAGAACATAGCACAGCATTCAGAAATGGCACCCTCCAGCTGTTCCTTCTACACTTGTCTCCTCAGATCAGAACCTCTTCGAGGTTGTCTGTATCAGGGACGGCAACTTCATTAGCCCCCGAATGCCATCTCATGATAGCTTTTGGATGTTTCCCTTATATTTTCCCCAAATCTTCTAGGAGTGATAGATCTTTCAAAGACCATGATAACTTGGCGTTGTTATGCAAGATCTCTGGCGAGTTTCTGAAGTTCCAAGAGAACTGGTGCTCTCACAAAATGTTGGCCTCTTTTTTTTTTACAAATAAAAATGTAAATTTCTTTCATTTTAATTTAGTTTGCAGGAAGGTGGGCAGTGTGTTGGAGGATGCCAAACCCCTTCTGTTCTTCAGCTGTAGCCACTGGACAGGGAATGCCAAAAATAAGCACATGTCTCTTTCTGCCCTTATGAGTTGCTGTCTCCTATTCTGCCTCAATTTCCTCCTTTGACTCCTGCCTACCTTATGGAGCAACTGTAGAGGCAGCCAAATCTCTTGATTTATTGAAAGGATGTGGTCATAACTGTCTGCTCTGCCACTCCGGTTCGCCAGCCAAGGCTCAAACCTTCTTGAGGAGATGGGCTGTCATCCTGGAAGCACTAACATCCCTGGCAAGCAAGGGAAGAAAAATTATTCCCTCTGGGCCCTCACTGCTCAGCTTCCATTCTTCTTCCTCTCACTGTTTCTGGCCGCAAGCCCCGATCAATAACGTTTTACCTCCCGGGAAAGGTTGTTTGAGTTAATTGACTTGATGAAGCTGACAGCACAGGCTTGCCAAGGTCAGCCTGCTTTCTGTGATCTGGGGAGGGGGCTGAAGAGCCCCACTGACTCAACAGTGGGACTTCTTGTCATTACAAGTGTCAGCCCATTTCTGACAGCCGTTGTGGGAGAAAGGAGAGTTTTCTTGTTTTCCCCAGGAGCTTTAGGGAAAAGTTGCTCATTGTGGAAAGCCTCTGGGTGACTTTGGCAGCTACTGATTCTGATAGCTGCTTCTATTACCTTTCCAAGCTCAGTGCCTTGCAGAAGGTGCTCCCACCAACCGAAAGCCAGCCTGATGGAATTCTTGTCCACAACAACTACAGGGTTCCAAGTTGGAGAAGTCTGTGCCTACAGCTGCTGGCTGACAGTTCCTTCTCCAGCTCTCTCCTTCAGCTATGAATGAGGAAATGAGTGGAGGGCCTTCTCCTTAACTTCCTTCCAGGTTATGTCTTCTAGAAGTCCTGTTGCTTTGTTGCTCTTAGGAAATGAGCGGAGGGTCTTCTCCTTAACCCCTTTCCATGTTATGACTTCTGGTCTTAGGAAATGAGGGTCTTCTCCTTAACCACTTTCCTTGTTATGACTTCTAGAAGTCCTGTTGCTTTGTTGCTCTTAGGAAGTGAGTGGAGGGTCTCCTCCTTAACCCCTTTCTATGTTATGACTTCTAGAAGTCCTGTCACGTTGTTGTTCTCTCCTTGTTCCAGGATGCTGTTCCTAAACAAATCCAGGCCCTGCCCATGAATGAAGAAGAGCATGCCTGGCTGGGAGGGGGGGGGGCGGGGTGGACCTTGCCAAGAGCCCATAGCTATTGTCTGAACTGATGGCCACTGTTGTCCCCCTTGAGGCATCTTGTAACACAAGGCTCTGATTGTTATCCTTGTATGACCCTGAATCCATGCCAGGTTCAGGCTCGTAGGAAGCAGGGCTCTGCAGCCTATCTTGGACCAAGCTGGGCATCCTTCATATGAAGTTTTGATTTATTCCCATCCCGTTTTTCAATAGTTATCCCTGTCATTTCCCATTACCTTCCTCCCAGTTCCAAATGCATGATGCCTGCAAGGTTCAATTGGGCTAAATCCACTTAAATGCAGGCTCTCCAACCTGCAATTGAATTTAGGATCAGGCTGTCAGTCTCTCTCTGTTTACCTTTGTCCTTTCTCCCAGCTTACACTGAAATAAGCAGATTTCGCCTTGCAATTGCATTTCAGCTGAAGCCGCAAGCGTTTCTCCCAGCTGGCTTAAACCCAGCTTCCCATTTTTTGCTTGGTTGTTTGATGGCCTGGAATATAAGCCCCTGGTTACTCACACCCCACCTGGGTGGATCTGTCTCCCTGCAGTACTGATCGAAACCAGTTGGCCATCGCTAGAGCTGTCCGCGTGGGAATGGTTGTATTTTTAGACTGTGTTCTCACGACTCTCCTCCTAAGGGAATTCTATTTATAGAGGACAAAACTGAACAGGAATAATTGAGTGATAGGAAAGGGAGATCATCTCTCCTTGTCCCACAACTCAGGCAGATTGCAGATTCCAACTGGCAGGTGACACTACAGCAAAGAAGAACTTCTGCCAGTGGGGAATTCCAGCCTTTTTCATCTGGGAGTGGCTTTGGAGCCCCTAATCAATGTTGGTTGATCTCAGAAACCTAAAGCAGGGTTAGCTAATTTCAGATGGGAACAGGAGTGAGTGGGAGGAAGCATGCAGAGCCCCTTGTTAGAAAAATCAGTTTGATAAAATATAAAGTTGCCACTGTGAAGGCAGATGGGAGCACTAAAGAAGGATCTAATTCTAGCAGCCTGGTCACATCCACAGGGGTGAAGGGACTGTGCCAGGTGCCACAAGGTCTGCAGCTCAATCCTGCGTAAAAGATGCCTGGTGGGGAGCACAGAGGAAGACCTGAGAGGTGGTGGGCTCCTGTATTGTTACCTGGCATGGTTGATTCCAGGCAAACAGTCAGAAAGAGAAAGTGAGAGAAGCAGGGTGTCCTTTTTCTGGATGGCCAAGCAAAGTCTTTTCTTGCCCCCTTACCCACCATCTGTCACTGGAGAACATCCCCCTGGCTGAGTCAACCAGGAAGTCCAAGGGCTACAAAGTAAAAAAAAGTCCCAGAAGAAGACAATGGCAGATACCTCCCTATTGTTGTCAAGAAAATTGCATGGAACTGTCCACAAGGTCATTGGGAGAATCATGCAAACCATTATATTCCTGTGATATTCCATGGAAGCAGAAGTTGGACTTTGAAGAAGCAGGATAGGAAGAGTATTGATGCTTTTGACCTTTGGTGTTTGAGACTCCTGAGAATACTGTGGACAGCCAAGAAAACAACCCAATGGTTCATTGAACAAATCAACCCTGAGTTCTCACTCCAGGCACAAATGAGCAGGTTCAAATTATCATACCCTGGACACACTGTGTACTCTGGAGCAGGCTCTAATGTGGAAATGTGGAAGGAAAGAGAAGAAGAGGATGACCAGCAGCAAGGTGGATAGACCCAGTTACAGAGGCAATGGGTGCACTGTTGGAAGACCTGAAGGACCAGACTGGGGACAGATTCTCCTGGAGAAATTCTATCTATATGGTAGTCAAGAGTCTACACTGACTAGATGGCACATAATCAGTCAATCAATCGAGGAACTTTTTACCTTTACCTTTTTTGAGAGAGGGAAGAGAGATTCACTAAAATAAGTGTCTTAAGCTGATCAGATGTCCATCTGTAGCCCACATGCAGGAATGAGCCATTTAGGCAAGGTCGCAAACTAGAGATAAATAATATTTATTGAAGGATGTGTACACCAATAATCCAAGAATATCATCAACTGCTGTGGTTTGAGAACAAGTCCTATGTATGGAAATGATGATGTTCAAACCCACTTGTGTGAGGTTGCCTTCCTGCCCCATGTGGCAGCCTGCTTCCCCCACTCTTTTGAATGGACCAGCCTGTTTCCATTCACCTGTTCCTTTTGCAACAGTTAGATTTGCTTGTATTTTACTTCTTACTGACTGTGGGAGAATTAACTGTAATACCAGAGACTTAACTCATCTGTTTAATACTTCTGGGGTTGGAGGAGAAACATGAAAAACTAGGCTGCTCTAATTCAGCAGTAAATTTGCTCCTCCAGGAGCTGCAAAATTTTTTTTAAAAAAGTAATAAAAATGGGTAGTGGCCTATTTACATTGTTTGCCGACATTTTGTCCATCTTCTTGACATGACCTGTATATAAATCTTGGTTGTTGAGACTCTTAACTTCTTATTCAGGAATTGGATCACTTAGCAGAAGGCTCACAGTCATGACTTAGCACCATGGAGTTGGAAGGAATCTTGGAGGTTTTGTAGTCCAACTACCTGCCCGGTGCAGGAACCCTCAGACCATCCCAGACAAATGGCTGTCCAACCTTTGTTTGAAGACCTCCAGTGATGGAGTCCTCATGACTACAGGAGACAGGATGTTCCATTGCTTATGAGCTCTCATGATCCTGAAATTCCTCCTTATTCCCAGTTTGGTTCTCCCTCTATAAAACTTCTCCCCATTGGTTCTTGGCTTAATCCTGGACACTATGGAGAAAAACCCATAACTTCCACCCATTGGTTCTTGTTCTACCCACAAGCATTATGGAGAAAAATCCATTCCCTCTTCCCTGTGACATCCCTTCATGCATTGGAAGCTTTCACTCTTCTCTGAACTGTTTCCAGTTCCTCAGCATCCTTCTTGGCCAAATTAGTCTCTACTGCAGACAGAAATGAAGCCATATACCCACAGAAGATTATCCACTGCAGTTTTGTGCTCTAGAGTTTATATTCTAGGCTTTTTCCTCCCACCATTCCAAGTCAACAGATTTTTGGTTCTTCTCTTGTTGGCCTTGAAGGCACCTGACATAATGGTTCTCTCTATGCTGGGGACTGCTGGTTCCTGCCTCACCAGCTTCATTCCTTGCACATTTTGATTTTTTTCCCATTTAAATGTTAATATGATCATTAATAAAATATTAAGTAATAGTTTACATTAGTATAGTTTGTAGAGCTGACTTGGGCTAATTTGGGGTATAGCTTAATCATTTGCAAATTTGAACATAGATAGATTTGAATTTGGGATTCGATTTCCATTTTGCCTTGTGCTCTGTGTTCTTCAGCAAACTGCCTAGCTGGGCTCGTGCAGTAACACCACGGATCTTCTATATCACGGAGAAGGCCTGGAACTATTATCCATATACCATCACAGGTAAGGAGAAAACTATAATGGCATGTGGAAATGACCTTGGCAGATAGGAGGGAGAGCCACAGACGAGACCACTGGCATGTAAAAGATGTCTCAGCCCAGAGAAGGAAAAGGGGCGTGGGAAGCATTTCAGAAGGGACTCTCCCTAGTTTTCTGGAGAATAAAAGGAAAAGAGGGGAGAAATCCTTTTAGCCTTGCAAGATTCTGTTGATGTAACCTTACAATAGAGATAGAGCTAGTACTCCTGGTTGTGCTTCTTGTCTGGACTACCTCGCAGGGCTAACAGAAACCATGAACTTTTCACCCAGCATTTTGCTTTTAGGGTCCCTTGTCTTGAGAATCCTGTAACTCCTGTCTAGTATCCGAGCTTCAAATTGTAATCACCCGTATGTAGCCTCCAGCTCTCTCTGGGCAACTCTTAAAGCCATCCCAAATTTGACATATTATTTGTCAAATCATATGTACACCCCTCATACCAAGAGTGTCTACAGGATGTGGTCAAAAAAGTCAAGCTGTCGGCAGTGCAATTGAACCTCCAGAAATAGCCAGACCTTTGATCACACCATCGCAGCTGCCATCTTGACCTTTTTGATGACACCTTGAAGACACCCATGTCTCACACGCGTTAAATTATGTTGGCCATCTACAGTGGTTGACACCATGTGACTATTATGGCTTCATATAACATGGGAACCCAATTGGTGGGTTAGCGCAAGGCTCAGGAATCTAAAAGAGATTGTTGCAACCCTCGTGGCCCCCACACCCGATGCCTCAAATTCAGTAACAATTTTCCCTGGTTTTTGTTGGGGTGGGGTTTCTTGCCTCTTTAACCCCCACCCCCCAAACCAGGCTGTCCACTCCTCCACTGATGCATCACTGAGCACAAGGGAGGCCACATTTTATTCTTAAAAAATCTGCAAAGAAGTGGTTTATCCTCTGAGTGAGGATGCTGAGTGAACTCAGTCTTCCAGCCCTTTGCAAATTGCTCCCTCCTTAAAAGATTGCTCGCTGAGTCTTTGAGATCTCAGACGTATCTACTCCCTTGTTCTTTTATTTAGCTTAATTGGATTTTCCTGCCAGATCGGGTACAAGAACGATCTGATTCCCCTTTGCAGCTTTGAGGTTCACTGCACAGACCATGGTGCCTACGTCGGGTTGCAAAGCAAGCGGATTAAGTTGCCCAGAAAATCTGTCATGGGTAACTCTTCCTTCTCTCCAACCTCAGCTGTCTCTCTTTCTCTTTGTCTCCCCTTTGCTAACCTGTGGATACCTGGAATGATCTCACAATGGGTACAGAGTACACGGTAAGTGCTACGATGCCTTCCCGCTTTCAGTACTTCTCCAGCAGGATCAAGGAGCGAAAGCAAGAACGCCGTGAGTAGCCTCAAGGCTGCAGACAAGCCTTTGCAAAAAGGGGAACATCTGGAATGCTGCTGCGTTTTTCACCAGGAGTGCAGAAAACCCAGAGGAAACTGCATTTCCGGAGGATGAAGGAAGCACTGGGTTTCTAGCCCTCATGGTGTCAAATTTAATACTTGACCACGTGCAGATGGTTCCCAGAAGTTAGAAAAGTGGCAGAATGGAATTGTCTGCAGGTCCTGTTTTCCATCCACTGTGTGGAAGAAATAAAAGTTGAAACCCCATCCCTTCCTTTCGTTTCTTGGGGCAGAATTGGTTGGTTTATTCCCTCCACTTTAAGGGCAGGAAAATAGAAATAGCACCTTGACATAGATGACTGTTTGCTTGCCTCTTTTCCAGCACCATCCTCTCTTTCATCCTTTCTCTCTTCTCTGATTCTCCATTTCTCTTTCCTTTTGCAGTGCTCCTTTCTGCCCAAATTTTCTATCTACATAGAAACCAAGTACGAAGATAATTGTGGAAATAGCACCGACGTAAGTGCGACCCGTGCAGAATTGGAAACAGTGCCCTGTTTCATCCTGTCTAGCTATCAATTAATCAATTATTAATCAATTATTAATAATCAATTAAATGGATTAATTAATAATTAATAATCAGGGAACTACCAGCTCAGACAGACAATCAAGCAGTAAACAACAGCCTAATCAAGGAACTACCAAGGAGAAAACCCACCTCCACCAACACTGACTGGGCAAGCTACTGTATATAAACAGGGAGCAAACCCCACTCCCTTCTAGCCCTGAAGATGTTACCTAGCTGGGTAACGAAACGTCTGCCAGCAAACAATCAAGCTCAGAGATCCCCAAGGACTCCACAGTTCAACCCTGAGCTACATTATATTCTCTTCTATTGTCTAGCTATTTTCAGGGGAAAATGTAGACACAGTGGGAGTTATCCGTGCATTGAATTGGTGACTGAATATTAGCTTGGACGACCCCCATCTGGAGTTCAGGATAAAAAGACTCTGGCCTGGGGAGCCTACATTTCAAAATTTAACAGAGACAGGAGACATAGCAAAGGAATTTTCTGTTTTTTCACTTATGTGCAATTTAAAGTTCAGTACAATATTCCCAGGACTAATCTTATAGGGCCTTCGGTTTTATTTGCACACTTCTGGGCAAGAGCTCATAGTTCAAATCTCTGTCCAATAAGAAAATTCTGCCCCTTCTCTAGGAGGGAGAGAAAGAAAAAGCGATTCCTGCCCACTTCTAGTTTTGATCCCGCTCACTGCTGGCTTCACCCCCACCCACTATGAAGCCTCTAACAGATTATCCTGGGAAAATATGCCTCTTGTTATCAAGGAGGTCACCCGGGTTAAAGTATGGGAAATAGAGGGTTGTATCAAACGTTTTGTGGAAATGATGGCCTTGGAAGAATGAAAAATGATCCCTTTCCAGATAAGGATGGAAAAATTCCCACCTGAAACTCTCAGGAGCTGCTGCCAGTCAGGGCTGACAATACTGGGCTTGGTGGGCCAGGATCTGAATCAATCTAAGACCACTTTCTATGTTCAAGGGAAGGAATCATAGCTCAGTGGTAGAGTCTCTGTTTGGCATGCAGAAGATTACAGGTTCAGTCTTCAGCCTCTCCAGATAAGGATGGAAAGATTCCTATCTGAAATTCTCAAGAGCAGCTGCCGGTCAGTGCTGATAATAACCAGCTTGGTGGGCCAAGATCTCAGTCAACCTAACACCACTTCCTGGGTTGAAGGGAAGGGACTATAGCTTGGAGATAGGGTCTTTGTTTGACATGTAGAAGGCCCACAGTATGACCCCACCAGCTTCTGCAGGTATACAGAAGGAAAACCACCTATCTAAAATCCTACAGAGTCATCACCAGCTACTGTTGGGCTGGGCTGGATTTAGGAATTTATATAATGCACTATAAAGGATCAGCCACTAAACCAACTTCCCTCCCTGGGAGGATGCACTCAGGCTTGTTTATGGGAAGAGGCCATGAGGAATAGTTGAGTGTCCCTTGCCAAGATGCCATGGCACCTTGTTGATGAGATGAGAAGAGTCAAGGCAAGATGGGATTCGCCACTATTGCCATGGGGGATGTGATGGAATGGAATTATGAAGGCCAGACTCAGGGAGAAAAATGTTTTCTTTCATCTCCTGAGGCGTGAGGGAAAG